GAAAATCAGCGTACAGTGAAAAGTTTGATCTTTACGCCAGCCAGGCTAGAAACTTCGCCGTCTTGTAGCCTTCTGCATTACACGGTCCATTGGCGTCCGGGATCTACTAAGCATTTTCATGGATGCAGCAAGTTGTTCTCATAAAATTATACTGTCATAGCTAACAACGAATTGTAAACTCTGTTACATTGCTGTAAGAATCAGTATGGAGTGTATAGTTGCAATATTTTTATTTTATACTATGTAATTTTTCATAATGTAGGTAATCGATTGTTAATAGATATATCTGTTATTTATCCAATATATATATATATATATATATATATATATATATATATATATATATATATATAGATAGATATTGCAATTACAATATATAGATATTATTATATAATACTTACCCTTATTAACTAGACTATGAAATTTGTTGTTTTTATGACAAGTTTTTATTTCACTGGTTTTGCTATATAATTCCGTTCAAAATTTGTGATTTATTTATTTTAGTTTTTTATTTAGTTATTCAGTTAGATAACTACTTGGTAGCGTTCGATAGTACAGAAAATCGGCATATTTATGTTAGTTCAAGAAGATACGGAAGATGAGCATAAGAACTCTTGAACTACGTCTGTTAAACCTGTCATGTTTGGATTTGTTTAATTTGTCTTGACAAAAATTAAACTCTTTGTAGTGACCAGAGCCTGATGATCGTCATATCAGTCGTTAACTGTTAACTGCAGTATATAAGCCTCTGCTATAAGAGAAGATTTGCTGTCTTTGCTGTTTGTTCTGATGATGAAATTATAAAAGTATTTTTTTTAAATAGACATTTAAGTTTACTTTTTTTGAGTCTCTCACTCGTTTTGAGTTACTTTGCTATTTATATGATCTGAGTATGGCAGTACACCTGCAATACCGTTGGTATTGTGGGTGATCATGGGCGGCGGTAATCACTTACCATTAGGTGAGCCGCATGCTCGTTTGACCCCTGTATTGTAAAAAAAATAATACCTATATTTCAGACTTTTGGTCCATTAATATTTATTAGTAACAATGTTCTTATATCTGTATGTTAGTAAGTTAATAATAAATGTGAAACATTTTTAAGAATAACCTCTTACAATAGTAACAGTTACTCGGTACTTTTATATGAACCCAGAATTAAATCACTACCGCAGTAAATTTTATTAAAATCCATCCAAAGTTTTGTGTTATTGTAGATTCAAGAGATGGTCTAGTTATAGTTTTGTACATATAAACAATAATAGTAATATTTAGTCTGACAGTAATTCTACAGACAAGAATAAATGAGAATGTAAAAGAATATTTAGTTAGAAATATTTACTTTACGAATTCTATTTATGAATTGATATTTTCAATCAAAAAAATAAGTAGAAAGGCATTAATTTTTATCTATGATTCGATTGTTCCGGTCTGTTGAATTATGAACACAGAAATATTTCGAGTCTAATAAAAAAAAAATTGTATTGAAATAAATCATGTAAATAATCCATGTAATAAAAAGTAGTAATTGTCACCAAAAGAAATGAAAAACTTCATAGATATTATTAAATATACTGTATCATTTCTGAGGATTAAGGCGGTTCGTTCTTTAACACGTTGAGCGCCATGTCAGCCATCGGTGGCTGACACTAGACTTTCCGTTTAGGCCGCGTCAGCCATCGGTGTCTGACAGTGTGTAACATGAGAACTATAAAATTTTACACTATTTTACGGAATTACAGAAAACAAAACAGACTTGGTGCGTAACGTGTTCAATGAATGCCTATAAGAATCACGTTCCAAACGTAAACTACCTTCTACTACGATAGGAAACACCAGCTCCTGCAGTACCAGCGCTTCGAAGCGGCGCGCGTGGCCTGAACGGGATTGCTGTAGAAATACGCGTGGCGCTCAACGTGTTAAACTAAAACTCAGCCACGTAAACATTTTTATTTTGCCATACAGAAACGAGTAAGATAGTAGTATAGTCTGCATAGCTTATACAAACGACTTTTGTACAAAATTTTACTCTGGTAATAATTTAACGATTCTAAGGACGAAGAAGAATTTTGGTAAAAAAAAGAATCAATTATACCATATCGCAGAAATATAAAAGTTTATACTTCATTGTACGTTCTTATCGGTCTACTTCGCATCCAATTGTCTCTATTCAGATATACAATTCTGAGCAAGTTTCGACTTTCAACAATGCCATTGTTATAAACATTATACATATATTTTTTAAGACAATATATTTTTTTTATATTTGAAATAGACATATCAGCAGTACCTATACATTATCATCACCATATTATCTGTTAACTGTCCACTGCTGAACATGGGTTTTGCTGGTTGCATAGATTTTACTCGTAGTTGCTACACTTGGTAGGCACACCAAAAACTAATTGCGGTTGTCAAATCACAGTTAGGCTCTTATTTATTTTATTTATTTAACACTTTATTGCACCAACATAACATGATTTGTTAAACAATTTTCAATACGTTAAGTGTAGTACAAAAGGCGGTCTTATTGCTAAGCAATCTCTTCCAGACAACCTTTGGGTAGAAGGAAATAAAGCATAAATAGGTAGGTGGCGCATTAAAAAAAATTGATTTGTAAAAAATAATATCTGTGACAGCATAGTCATATACACATACATAAATAAACACATACATCCAAACATATACATATATATACATACACATATAAATATATATACATACATATACATATATACGCATAAATACATACAAATATACCATACTGTTTTAATATTATATATTAATGTGTTATATATTTTTTGAAACTTACTATAAAATACTCTGTGGCACCTAAGGCTTAACGTCTCAGTGCCATGTTTATTCGAGGTATCGTACTGAATTAAAATGATTGTACATACATGTTTATAAAGAAAGAAAATAAATATTTTTTCACGAAGGTCTTGAAGCTTCACTATTATTTATTCGGCTGCTCCCAAATCGAGCATGATTTATTTTTACAGCCACCCTCCGACCTCTTGATCTGGGGCTTAATGTTTACATTCTGTTCGAGGATACGACCTTGCATACATTTCCTTCGATGAAGACTATTTTTTTTTTCAGAAAATAAGAAAATACGTGTTCATATTATGGTACTAATTGTAAATATTAGTATATCTATGTATTGATTAGATAAACAATACACAGATTAGAGTTAAACAATACACAGAGTACTTATACACATAGGTATATCCATAATGTACGTGTACAAATCATCACCACCGTCATCTTCCTACCCTTATCCCAATTATTTGGGTTCGGCGTAATATGTTTTTATCCATATTACAAAAAGATTTGGTTTTTAGTTTTACGACCGGCTACTTGTCTGACGTCAACCCTCTTTGGGAATGCATTTGTTGGTGGTTTCCGCCACCTACGGTATGGAGGAAAGGATTGAGGAAAAAAGGAAGGGAACGTTGGAAATGCGTAAAGGAAATTGGTGAATGGAAGAAATAAGGGACTTATGTGGGAAAGGAAAGTATTATAAATAGGAAAAAAAATATTGTTTATTTATAATAGAAAAATCCAAAAACTACTACCGATTATAAAAATTATTTCGCATATGGGAAACTCGATTATTAACGAATAACGTAGGTTATATATTATTTTCGAAAATTATATCTATTTGTACGAAGCTGGGCTGGTCGTTAGTTACTTAATATAAGCCATATAGAGACTGCTATAAAGAATTTTCTCTAGTATTCTACTAAAAATCCACTAATTATGATAATTGTAACATTAAGGTCTGTTTCAAAAAGTTATGAGTTCGATAATATGCAACACCAAAAAATAAACACACTTCATAATACTTTCTATTGATACATAATGAAATGATTGATACCTACTGCTGATTTATACCAATGTACAACTCACCATAAAGTTTCACCCAACCATCTGGACAAGTGGCGGTCTTCTACCGTGCGTTTTTCAAAGCACTCTCTTTCACGTACGACTACTCTTTGTAACCAACTTCCAACAGCAGTATTTCTGAACCGATACAACATCATTACTCTTAAAAAAAGAGTATATTCCTTTTTAAAAGACACACCTGCAATGCCTTTGGTGTAGTGGGTGATCATGAGCTGCGGTAGTCACTTACCATCAGGTGAATCGCATGCTCGTCTACCCCAGTGTTGTAAAAAAAAAGTTTTATATTAAAGCAGTCGAGTTTGTTTGTTTATTTGAACGTGCTAATCTCTAAAATTATCAGTCGGAATTTTAAAGAATATTTTTGTATTTGATTTCAAGGAAGATATTATAGATTATTTAACATCACGATACGATCACGGGCGGAGACGCGGGAATCGTCCACTACAATAATTACTAAACTTATTAAAAAAAAACCAATATATTGCTACTGGGGGAAAAGGGATTATTAGTAATGGAGACTGAGTCGACCTCCTCGCGGTTCCCTCTGGAAACTATCATGATTAATTCCTGATGAATTCATCATGATGGGCTAACTGGCCTGTTTTCATTATCATCAATAACCCTTCACTGGTGCCCCGCCAGCGTATCCCGTTAGCGCAGGCGGGGTTACCATTCCATTTTCATCCAATAAAAAAAATATATCGTATATATATATATATATATATATATATATATATTGCTGTTATTAATATAGCATATAAAAATTGCTAATCGATTAACGCAAAATAAGTGTATTTGGAATTAATTTAAACAGAAAAGTATTGCAATTTTACTCTCAAATGAGATAGAGGTATTTTGTTAGCGGTTGTCGGTGTGGTAAATGTGAATTCAACATGCCAACATTTCACCGAACGTAATTATTTGAATCCAATGTGGTAACCAACGAGCCTTCCATTGTCTCTCAGATTAATTAGATTACTTAAACTATAATTAAATACTTAATTGAACGTTAGGTTAGGTTAATTAAAATACATTTCCAATTTGAGAATTATGTATATGTATTTTTTTTTATACTCAATTGTTACAAAAAATAAAAAAAAGTTTTTATTTTTTAAATGTTTTGTGTGAAATTTTATTTATCTACGTCTTAAATCAGATACTTTTCAGAAGTTTAAGTTGGTATCTTGGTATTTATCCTTTATATAATCTACCTTCTATAAGTTCTTTCGTACATGCATACCGAATCCGAAAACTATTTTGTTTCCAGGAACATACTATATATGTGTATTTAATCTACCATATTAATTTTCACCTGTTCTAGACCTTTCGATTTATTTCTATTGATCTTTTTGTATTTCGGATTTGTTTTAACTGATCTTCTTATACTGTTTCTAGTCATTACTCTATCGAACACTTCTTCGCTATCATCACTTGCATCGTCGGAAAAATGGTTGTTTACGTTTAATTTCTTTGGCCTAACAACTGTGGGCTCTAGAGTACTATCAGAAAGTAGCGAATCATCATGAACAACTTTTTCATCATCGCTCGGTCTATCGTTGCTTATTTGTCGTGAAAAAAATCTTCGATTCACAACGGGTACTTCTAGGTTATTTTTCTTTTCTTCTTTCTTTTTCTCATCTCGATTACAAGACTTATATTTCATTTGAGAAAAATCAACTCTACGTAAAAAGCCAATAGGATCACCGAATCGTCTGCTGCATTTTCTTGTTGATTTTGTTTCAATTTTACTTTCTTCGATTTTAGGGCTATTTTCATTTACACCTGAATCAGAATTTGAATCTATGATTATTTCGGGCATGGAAAATTCATTTTGAACTTTCAGTCTACTATTGAGCTCTTCGATAGTTTTTAATTGTTGTTGGATAATATCATCCTTTTCGGCCAGTTGCTGATTTATAATTTTTGTTTTTATACCCAAGTTAATTTCATATTTTGATAGTTCCTTAGAGAGAAAATCTAATTCCTTTTTCCTGTTTTCTTCCAATTTTCTTATAATTGCAGCTTGTTTTGCATGCGATTCCTTCAAGTTATCGATTTCTTTCTTGTGCGTTGTAGTTAAAAATTTTATTAAATTTAAAGCCTCTTGAAGTGTGGTCGGTTGAAGAAAATCTTCTTTTAATATATTTGTTGACATTATAATATTAATAGAACTGCAACAAATAAAGGCAACCAATTACTAATGCACTAAACTAAATTCGCACTATAACAAATGAAAAATTAATTATGGCCATTAACGATTGAAAAGTCCGTTATTATTTTTATATATTTAATTTATCTTTTATAGCTACTAATTAGGTTTAAGTACTTAAATTGAATAAAAATGACTTTTTAAGCATTTAGAATGTGGTCTTTGGACAAGGCAGGAAGTAGCAAAAACAATTATGCAACTATAATTTAACACGTAATATTTAGTATTAGACACATTCCTTGAATACCAAACTATGTTTATATACTCAACTATACTCCGGCAGAAGTATAATAACATTGACTTATTGTTCTTGAAAGTATATACGACCTTTTAGAAACAAAACGTGTACTACTTCTGTTGTTATGCTTGTCGGTTCTTTTCAATATTTTGATTGTCTATTGAGATGTTGCCTTGTTATAGGAATCATAATGTGGTGAAACATATCAAAGTTATTCTGACTTCGATATTATCTACGTAAACGTAAATTTCCATGTTGATGTAACAGAAAAGCATTTATTTCAATAATAGGCGATACAGAAAGATAGACAGACTTTATTGTTCTCTCTGAAATATTACATTCTAAAACAATAGGCTATTATATTGCTAAAAATAATCACTTTCAGGCAATCTTTGGATGAAGAGGAGTAAACAAAACATAAACAATTACTAAACCAGTCTATGTTACATTGAAATTGTATTCGTTTTAAGTAGGTACTATTGTATTTATTTATAGCATCTTTAACTAATACTCAATCTTAAAATTTCATTGTCAAAAGTTTTTGGATCTGTCCAATTATATTTATAAGAGCATATTCTTTTTGCAAACGACAGAATGTACTCCCATGTTTTTTTTTTAATGGATGATAATGGAATGGTAACCCCACCCATGCTATCGGTATACACCGGCGGGGCACTAGTGAAGGATGATAGGTGAAGAGATGAAGTAGGTCAGTTAGCCCATCGTGACAAATTCAACAAGAACTGTTCACGATGGTTTCCAGGGGGAACCACGTGGAGGTCGACCTAATAAGGCATATTGCTAGCAATGAGGCTGTCAAACTCCATTACTAACAATCCCTTTCCCCCCCGTACTCCCACGTTAGTTTTATAGGTGCTAATTTAATAATTGTAGTAGGTTTTCTTATGAAACAAAATCTTAACCTATATAAAGGAACTGAATAGGAAAAAAGGTTAGAAGCCTTACTTATAAACAAAGTAGTAAAATTCTGAGAATCCTTGCCGATACCTATTTCAATAAAAGAACAAGTAAATAATATAGTTAAACAAATTTCATTTATAAGAAAGCAACCTAGTAAAGACCTGGTATTATATTTTATATACGTATATTACAAGAAGTATTATCAAATAACAATTCATTTCAATTTTAGATGTACTATTTATTATATTAATATTCTGAGAAACGCTGTTGCTATTAACGATTGTTGGCACTTGATAGAATTTCTAGTTTATATTTATTATAAAAAAAAACATTCCTACATTTAGCTACACAATTTTGGTTTCCACGTTTCTAAAAACTCTACAATACACGAGTGAAATGATTGCTTATTCAAGTAACCACATTGTTGAGCGAAGTCTTACAAGTTATGATAGATGCCTGCGTCGTTTCGGATACGAATTTTTCTTAGAATATTCAAGAAAGGCGAAAAGATAAAGAATTATTCCATTATCTTTTCGGTCCAATGATTTTATTTATGAACTAACTGTAACCCGTGATGTGTCTACACATGAATTTCTTTTGAGTAGTTCGGCAAGTTGGTATATAGGTGTTATATGTATATCTTTATAGCCGACTTTTATTTAACTACTAAATTTAAATGATTAATAATAAGATGGACTCACGTATGTGTGCCTCGGCTACACCTCGGCCCACATTTGCACGTTCGTCCATCAATGCAATCAGTTGTATAACTGTATTTGGCTAAATTAGAATTATTATTTTATATAATTATTATATATATAAACGAATGCAATACTATTGCATTGCATGCGTTTATATATGTAGATAACCCTTTTATTTTTCATGGATGTCGTAAAAGGCGACTAAGTGAATCTAATGGTCAAGGGATGAGCAGTAACTTCCCCCTTAATATGTCACCAAAATCTAATTGAGCTTGTCAACCCATCTGCCAAGCATGACGCCTACTGGCAAAACCTCCCAATAGGGAAAAGCCTATATTTAGCAGTGGACATTTAAAAGCTAGTAAATATTCCAGATAATATCAGAGAAAGACTTTGTACAAAAGTCCTTTATTTGGGCACCTCTATCCCATTCGTGTCTCTATTGTGAAGCAGTTGTGTTTGCATGGCTGTGTTTCGGTTTGAAAAGTGGGATATGGCAGTGAATTTATAGGGTACAGAGGAATAACACCTGAGTCCTTAGGAATGGCAACGCATGGAGAGTATCATGGGCGAAACAGTATACACTGTTATGTCCATGGTACGGCTCATGTCTATAGGCAACGGTTAGCAGTTTCCATCAGGTGGGCCGTCAGCTTGTTTGCTATTCTAAGTTGAATATAAAAATAAAAAAATAAAAATTAAACAAATACCTGATGTTTAATAAATCCAAATATAATGCATTTGACACTTCACAGGACTTAATTTACAGTACAATAGAACAATTGGTCATTGTTAATTAATATTTTCATTACTCTAGTCTCGACCACTGACAGTCTTAAACTAATACAAATGAAGCGAGCTAACACACGGTAAGTATTGAATAGTATAAATGACAGGCGAAGACAGGTGTTGAAATGCTGCTAATGACTCGTACTTGGACTTATAATAAAGTAATTATTATTGCATTTTGAACTCTAAGTTAGTTGTAATAAGTACAGAAATATGTTTATATTCATGTTTACTTTATTTTGACGATTTGGCAAAAAGGTTCCGCTTGCTAGCATTTTGTTTGCAATGAGGGTTTTTGGACAGTAAAAATATTAATGCGTAATAAAAGTGGGGTGTAGGTATACTTATTATCGGAGGAGATAAGTTTTTACGAGCGTGTTCTTTTTTAATGACCATGGTTTTACCATGGTATCTAACAAGTCCAAAAGTGTTTTGGAAGGTTTTTTATCAGCACTTCAAAATGTTATTCGAATTATAAATTATTAAATTTATTTAAATATTCTTTTGTAAATGAAAAAAATAGAGTAAAAGATTTTTTTTATACAACTGAGAATGGCAAACAAGCTGACGGCCCACCTGATAGAAAGTGATAACCGTCGTTTATATACATGAGCCGTACCATGGACATAACAGAGTATACCTACTGTTTCGCCCATGATACCCCCCATACGTTGCCATTCCTGAGAACTCAGGTGTTATTCTTCCGTACCCAGTAAATTCACGCCATATCCCACCCTTCCAACCGAAACACAGCCATGCAAACACAACTGCTTTACGGTTGAAACACGAATGGGACAGAGGTACTCAAGCAATCGACTTTTGTACAAAGTCTCCCTCTGGTGTTAATGTTGTTTGTATAGATTTCTATTAATTTAAATAAATAATAAACATCAAAGATAATTTTGAAGAAGTTATGAATAGATAGATATGTTATTTGCATTACTTACGCCACATAAATAGTAACAGATATAGATACATACGCAAAAACGAAATAAAATAATACACATACAAAAAAAAAACAAGATAAATACAATAAAATAAAAAAAGTTACATAATTTTTTGAGTGTGCCACAATAACACATGGTCAGCAACTCAGTTTATTAGTTTGCCCTTAAGAGCAAAACACTTATATTCTGTTGTGGCCAAAAGAATGCAAAGTGTATTAATTTTAAACCGATTTTGATATTTTTTTAACTCTTGTATCAGTTCCATCATATTTTTTTTTATAAATTGAAGTTTTTTTTGTGAAAGAAAATCTTAATTATTAATCAACATTATCATATCAGCCTTAACTGTCCATTGCTGAAAATAAGCCTCCACTGAGGGAGTTTTGCCAGAAGTTGCCACGCTTGGCTGGCTGATTGGCAAACGCAGTTAGGCTTTGATGACGTTTTAAGAAGGACACTGCTGCCCAACTCTCACCAGAGGAAGACTTTGTACAAAAGTCGATTGCTTGGGTATCTCTGTTCAATTCGTGTTTCAACGGTAAAGCATTTGTGTTTGCATGGCTGTGTTTCGGTTTGAAGGGTGGGATATGGCGTGAATTTACAGGGTACAGAAGAATAACACCTGAGTCCTCAGGAATGGCAACGCATGTGGGGTATCATGGGCAAAACAGTATACTCTGTTATGTCCATGGTACCACTCATGTCTATAGGCGACAGTTACCACTTACCATGAGGTGGGCCAGCTTGTTTGCCATTGTAAGTTGTATAAAAAAAAAGAAAATCATGATTATAATTTAAACAATTGTTTAAAATTAATTAATTCTCCTATTAACCTACTCGTATTGTAAAAATTCATTAGTTATTCTAGTTAATGCTCATAATACTTAATTAAATACTAGAACAACGACGTAGCGTTAAATTGAGTCGATGTAATTAACAAAAGTTTGTCATGTTAAATGGTAAAATTAATAAATCTCTCTCTTATTGTTACTTACTTAAATACCACAGAATCTACTTCTGAACTTACCCAATTATAACTTGACTTTTCAGTTCTGTATATAAATTTTTCATTACAGTAATATAATATAGTAATTATTTAATGACTTAAGCCTACACGAATATAAAGCAAAAACAATACTTTTAGATTTAAAATACTTAAAAACAGAGGTATATTTTATATTAGATATGTAGTTTTTTTACATGTAAAAGGTATGGCTTTTTAGCTGACATCAAAAAGAAGGTGTTTTTAATTTGGTTGTTATTTTTTTTAAGTTTTTTACCTTAAAACACAATCAGTTTTAAACCGATTTGGAAAATTCTTTTTTTATCTGAAAATATATTCTTACTAAT